TGGCATCCACAGTGGCTATTGCAGTTGTAGTTCTGACTTTTAGGTCATCAATGTTCGACACGATCCTCCTGTAAACATTGTCCTTTATAAATCCCCAAAGAAAAAAGTCCAGCGGCGTTTTATCAGGTGATCTGAGTGGCCAAGGAATTGGACCTACTCGCCCAATCGAAAAATGGTCATTCAAGGAACTACAAACGATGATACCCCAATGAGGTGGTGAAAAGATATATGGCTGAAGCTCTTCTAGTTGTGGAAATACGAAGTTTTCCAACATGTCTAAGTATAGGACTGATGAGACAGTCTTTTCTGTAAAAAAAGAAAGGCCCAATGACTCAGTCCTGAATAAGTCCACACCACACATTAACCTTTGGGGAATCCCTTTGTGTCTCATGGTATTTATGGGGGTTTTCAGATCCCCATATACGCACATTATAGTAATTAACAATGCCATGAGAGGATGCTTCGTCAGAGAACATTATGCACTTCAGAAAATCAGCAGCATCTTCTATCCTTCCTACCATATCTGTTGTAAACCTTAAAAAAGAAGGGGGCGCATATGGAAGTTCATTGACAAGAGTCATGAAACTTTTTGAGTCTATCTAACCATTTATGTTATTAATTTTAATCTATCTTTATTATTTTATGAGTTATTAAACATCAAAATGGGTCCGGGACTTTATAAACACCCTGTATATTGTTAGGTACTCTTATCATTAAGATTGCATTTTAGTAGGTAAAATTTTGATCAAAAGCTTTTCATTTGTTTTTTTTTTCCAATTCCTTTTATTACTTAATACTCTACCTATATCTCGTTCGAATTTGCAATCGTTAATAAAATACTTTTTATTTATCCAGTCAAGTTCAAATACACTTTTAGTGGAGGACACTTGATGTTTATACAGTTTTCTCAATCTCAAATATTAAATCTTCTTTTAAATTCAATTAATTAATTTTTATTGTATATAGGGAAAAAAAATTTCAATNTTTTTATTTATCCAGTCAAGTTCAAATACACTTTTAGTGGAGGACACTTGATGTTTATACAGTTTTCTCAAATATTAAATCTTCTTTTAAATTCAATTAATTAATTTTTATTGTATATAGGAAAAAAAATTGCAATTATTTAATAAAAAGTAACTAAAATAAAAAATTTCTTTGTTGACCCTAAGTAGGAATTGACTTTAAAAAAATCTTTTTTTATACTACTTGTTTTATTTTGCACCACTGAAATGTATTTTTATAATTAATGTTTATATGTCTTTTCCGACTGCGTCTCATGAGTCTGTTTCTCAAATAAATTAAAACAAGGAATGTTTATCAGGTCACTTGTAGTTGTTTCTCATATGTTAATTTCTAAAATGAATTTTGAATGTTGTCTCAATACTGAATAACTTTTTTTTTTTTCATTTATAGGGTGTAAAGAAACTTTGTCCGCAATGTAATATGATCGTTTTTCCATCAGATTTAAGAAAAATTTATTTATGAATCATCAGCCACAATCATTGTATATTTGTAAATATTTCATCTGAATTGTATGATGTCCAAAGATTAGTAAATATTCTGTTTTTATATACATTGTTCTGAATTTATTTTTATAACTTAAAAAAATTATAATATGTTTCGAATATAAACTGCTAGTGAGATATATTATTAAAAATCAAGAATTCTTTTCTTTAATAAACTATTTCCCACAAATCAGAAAAAATAGCATTATTTTTACAGAATGGAAAGTGGCCAATCAGAATTGTCAATAGCAATAATTAAGAATTAAGTTTAATAATTCTATCATGTATTATAATTATTCCTTATAAAAATTCTAGTTCTCAGAAGAATATTTACACTGACTTCATTTAATGATGTTTTGTTTCCTGACAAAATATTTGACGCATAAAACTGACATATTTGGCGCAAAATTTTATCTAATGAAAACATTTTATGTATTTTTTTCTGACAGTCTAATTACTAGTAGAAACCTTTTTTTTTAATATAATAAACAGTCTAATAGTTACTTAAAAAAAATGTTAAATTATCAGAATTGTAGTTAAGTCCAAAAAAAAGTAGTTTGAAAAATTTATTTTGTAAATTAAAGAAATTTCATACTTAAGCAGGGTTCCCATAGTACTTGAAAGTCCTTGAATTTTGTTGAAAAAAATATGGGCCCTGAAAAGTCCTTGCATTTTGCCATAGGACACTTGAAAAGTACTTGATTTTGTAGGAATTAAAATAATACCAATCTTTCTTACAAAAAAGCAGTAAAGAAATAATAAATAAATTCAATGGAGGATTATTGAAAAGGGGTTAAAGAAGATGCAAAACTTTTTTGTCCTAGATTTTTCATTCCAGATTATTGCTGATCTCTCTGATGTTTTAAAAGTTGAAATTTCTAAAAAAATTTAGGTTTTGTAGTTATAGTTTTGGAATGATATAGGCTGAATCGATTTAGAAACGTGTTCAATGTGTTAACTTCATTATTACGGCACGTTAATATTGTTATCCTATTTGTTCTTTTAATTTTGAACGAAGGATAATTTTTTATCATTTATGATAAAATTTTTACGTTTAGTTTTTACTGCTAATAAATAAAATTTAGTTCGACAGGTTTCATTAATTATGAATATCCTATTTTGATGACTAAAATTCCCTATGTGTAAAATATTTAGTACATACAGTTTGCAACAATTATCGTGAAATTTATATTTCTTAAAATCTACTGAATTTTTTTCCTATCTGTGTTTGTAGCTATGATAGCGAAACAAAAATTGCACGTAAGTACACGTNCTCCGTGTAACGCAAATGCGGATTAGTTCCTCAAAGGAAGTCCACCACGAAAGCTGATTTCTCATAATACTTGAGCCAGGAGTTCCCTTGTCTTCTGGATTGAGTTCAAAATGACAAGGCTACGGAGTTGAACATTAGTAGTCGTAAACCCAAAAACCGGGTCGGCTGTTCAACGACGGTTATTAAAATAAAATGTATGTAAGCTTCTCATTAACGCGATTTAGCGAAATTTTCACAAATTAAATTTTAATTTCTTACTTTAACTAAATTTTAGTTAACTAATTTTAATCGCGGAAGACAGTAAATGAATGGTCTTGAGAAAGGCGGAATTTCGCAAAATTCGTGGACAAATCACACTTTTAAGAATACTGAGAATCAATTTTTGAACCTAGAAGGAGGATGGTTCCTGATCAAGAAGGAATTTAATGTTCTCTTCTAATCAGAAAAAAGGGGAAAAGCAGAGAGAAGAAAAAAGGAATTTTCAAGCATTATTTGTAATGACAAAACAAAATTAAAATACGGAATTTTAACCATTTATTTTACTTTTACAAAACCATTCTTTTCTTTTGGGAGTAGACTTGCACAGAAAATATGGTACCATGTTAAACAGTAAATCACATTGTAAAGAACATTTGGCAAAATCACAGCTCCATGAACAGAACAGTTTTTTGGCTTTTAACAAGGTTCTCAACAATAAACCACGCATCCTTCTCAAAATGCTCTTTAACTATGTCTAGTATGGCATTATTTACCCTTTTCGGGAAACATTCCACCTTTTTCTGTTATGGCCTTTTCTGCCACCTCTTTGTCCACCAACCATGATAAAAGATTAAAGTTTTTTAAGGAAGGCCATCTTTGGTTTCTTCCGGTTTTTACTTAGTCCCATAACTATTTTTGTGAAACTTCTTGGTGTTCCTTTGACCAGGATTTTTTTTTTTTGGCAATCTGATCTTAATTTGTTTATCCTTACCTGTAAGGCAGCATTTTCTAAAGTGTGGTACGCGTACCCCCAGGGGTACGGGAACAGTTTATTGGGGGTACGCGTTCTTATGAGAAACATCTTGCAACTAACGTAATTTTGAAACATTTTATTTTAAAACAAAGCTAGCCATGAAAATTTACGATTACTTATTCTTCTATTGGTACGCGTACCCCCAGGGGTACGCGTTCTTATATGAAACATCTTGCAACTAACGAAAATTTCGAAACATTTTATCTAAAAACAAAGCTAGCCATGAAAATTTACGATTACTTATTTTTCCATTGGTACGCGTACCCCCAGGGGTACGGGAACAGTTTATCGGGGGCTCGCCAAGATCGGGGGTATACGTTCTAAAGGAAGTAGGGCACTTCATAAAT